TTTTGGTTTGGGTTTTTTTTTTTTTTTTTTTTTTAGGTCTATTAAATCCAGCATCCTGGCCAGATTTTAGCTTTGGTACTTATATTCATCTGACTGAGTTTCCTCTGCAGTTCAGTTGGGCATAGTGTTTTTATTGCTACCTTAAGCTATTGTGCAGGATTGCTGATTGTTCATATACATTGTGGATGAAATCCCAATCCTGCTAAAGTCAATGGAAATTGTGTCATCAATTTGAGTAAGGCCAGAATTTCACCCCTGTTGTATTCTACCCCAAACATAGCTGGATTATATTGGCAGGTGAAGCAATTTTGTGTGTAAATATAATTAGTAAAGTTTACTCATCTGACTAACATATGTAGGAAATCCTGTATTTTTCTGTAGGTTTTTAAGATATAGATATCTTGAAAGAGAAATGTATTCTGTTGTACAATGCTAAAACAGCTAAGAACGTGAGCTCAGAATGAACTGGGATAATCTTAAAATTGAAGTCAGTGGGATTACATTACTTAGGACAGGGAGGCATTTGAAGAATGAGGGCTTAAGGCTACAAGCCTGCGAGAATTGTGCATGGAGAAAACAGAGTCTGTGTAGAGCCCCGCTAAAGTCAGCAGAGCTCTTGGCTGGTACAGTGACTGACTTTGCAGTTCCTTTTGCATAGTCAGGCACCAAGTTTGCAAAATGCTCATGTACCTTCAGCATGAAAGTTTCCATCTAAAGAGGCTATTGCTAATATTTGGAACAGCATCCACATTAGGAATGTTAAAGCATTTTAACCAGTGTTCTTATGTGATTGATGGAAGTATGTGGCCTCTTGACAATTATTCAGGACCACAATCTATTTCTTGGCAAATTTGTAATGACTCTCTTGAGCTAAAAAACAGTTCTAGATATGAGTGCTGATTGGCTGATATTTTCAGCTGGACGTCTACCTAACATCCATTTGTACATGTGTAAAACAGGTTATGTACTGGATGAGCATTTACATATGCACGTATTATAATTTGCACCCTGAAAACTCAGTAGAATTGTTGGACTTGTAGTGTGCAGTTTAAAACACTTTAATCCTAATACCTGCTCATGTAAAGCACACATACAGCTGTCAGCACTTGCTACCTAAGCCACATGTACATGGTTATGCAATTTGGCATGTGCACAAATGGAGGCCATGAGCTGAAAATCAACCCTATATATACATATCATCATCTCTTTTCTTCCTGAAAGCGTAGGACTTGAGTGTGTGGATCAAGCCCTTAATGTCTCATTTTCCAAGGTGCAGAGCACCTCTAGCTTCTGCTGCCTTCAGGATCAGGTGCTTATGGTTTAATTCTCTGGACTGATGTTGCCTTGATCTTTTAACTGTGGTACTGTTTTAAAAGCATGGTATTTTAGTCTAGTGTAACACAGACAGAGTTTACTGGACTGCCCAATTTTTCCTTCTTCTGTGTGAAATAAATGGTAGCTTTGGCTTTATTATTTCCGTAGAAAACAGCTCAGAGATAATAACTAATAATAGGGCTTTTCATCTGTACGTATTTACCACATTTTCAAAGGAGACTAGAATTCTGTGGACTGTTTAAAGGAACACCACCCAGTCTTGCAAGAATGGACAGAAGCAATAATTCTAATATAAAGCACAATGCTTTCAGGGATGCTGGAATGAACAGCTATCAAAAATATGTAGCATATTCCTGCCTCAGTCATCCCTTTGAGCACCTGCTATTGCGCAGGGAGACAAGGCCATGATTCTGTCCCTCACTGCTGCACCAAGCCCATATGACTCCTACTACTCTTTGAATTCCCAAACTGAGGCAGCCAGATTTCAGCTGCTACTAGCTGGGTGGGAAGCAGTGAAGAAATTCCTGATAACATCTCCTCATTCTAATGCACCCATGCAGGGAAAGCTACAAATTCACCACAATTGATTAGGTTTGACTACGCTTCTGTGGTATCTATGGATGAAGAAACTGCCCAGCCACTAGACAAAATTTCTCGGTCATGCTAATCTTCTTTCTATCTTTCTTTTTTTTTTTTTGCTTGCTTGCGTTTCCTCATATTTGACTAGCAAAACATTTGTCTGAAAAAAGAGTGTTTAAGTATATTAGT